CACCCCCCCTCACCCCTCACCCCCCCCCACCCCCCACCAGCTCTCCCCCACACCCCCCCCCCCACCCCCCCACCAGCTCTCCCCCACACCCCCTCCCCCACCCCACCCCCCCCACCCCTCACCCCCCCACCCCTCACCCCACCCCCACCCCCAGCTCTCCCCCCACCCCCCTCCCCCACCTCCCCCCACCAGCTCTCCCCCCCCCCCCACCCCTCACCCCCCCCCTCCCCACCCCCCAGCTCCCCCCATCCCCTCCCCCACCCCCCCCCAGCTCTCCCCCCCACCCCCCACCCCCTCACCCACCCACCCCACCCCAGCTCTCCCCCCCCCCCACCCCTCACCCACCCCCCCTCACCCACCCCACCCCCCCCTCACCCACCCCACCCCCCCCAGCTCTCCCACATCTCCCCCCCCCCAGCTCTCCCACATCTCCCCCCCCCAGCTCTCCCACATCTCCCCCCCCCCCAGCTCTCCCACATCTCCCCCCCCCCAGCTCTCCCACATCTCCCCCCCCCAGCTTCCCACATCTCCCCCCCCCAGCTCTCCCACATCTCCCCCCCCCAGCTCCCCCACATCTCCCCCCCCAGCTCTCCCACATCTCCCCCCCCCAGCTCTCCCACATCTCCCCCCCCCCAGCTCTCCCACATCTCCCCCCCCCAGCTCTCCCACATCTCCCCCCCCCAGCTCTCCCACATCTCCCCCCCCCAAGCTCTCCCACATCTCCACCCCCCCAGCTCCCACACAGCTCCCCCCAAACAACTCCCCCACCAGCTGCCCCACCAACTCCCACACAGCTCCCCCCCCCAGCTCCCTACCCCCGAGCTCCCCACCCTCAAGCTCCACCCCAGCTTCCCACACAGCTTCCAGTGTGAGCTATAGTGATATACAGTGTGAGCTACAGTGATATACAGTGTGAGCTACAGTGATATACAGTGTGAGCTACAGTGATATACAGTGTGAGCTACAGTGATATACAGTGTGAGCTACAGTGATATACAGTGTGAGCTACAGTGATATACAGTGTGAGCTACAGTGATATACAGTGTGAGCTACAGTGATATACAGTGTGAGCTACAGTGATATACAGTGTGAGCTGTAGTGATATACAGTATGAGCTACAGTGAGCTATAGTGATAGACAGTGTGAGCTACAGTGAGCTATAGTGATAGACAGTGTGAGCTACAGTGAGCTATATTGATACACAATGTGAGCTATAGTGATATACAGTGTGAGCTACAGTGATATACAGTGTGAGCTATAGTGATATACAGTGTGAGCTATAGTGATATACAGTGTGAGCTACAATGATATACAGTATGAGCTATAGTGATATACAGTGTGAGCTGTAGTGATATACAGTATGAGCTACAGTGAGCTATAGTGATAGACAGTGTGAGCTACAGTGAGCTATAGTGATAGACAGTGTGAGCTACAGTGAGCTATATTGATACACAATGTGAGCTATAGTGATATACAGTGTGAGCTACAGTGATATACAGTGTGAGCTATAGTGATATACAGTGTGAGCTATAGTGATATACAGTGTGAGCTACAATGATATACAGTATGAGCTATAGTGATATACAGTGTGAGCTATAGTGATATACAGTGTGAGCTACAATGATATACAGTATGAGCTATAGTGATATACAGTGTGAGCTACAATGATATACAGTGTGAGCTATAGTGATATACAGTGTGAGCTATAGTGATATACAGTGTGAGCTATAGTGATATACAGTGTGAGCTACAATGATATACAGTGTGAGCTATAGTGATATATAGTGTGAGCTACAAGTAAGCTATAGTGTTATAGAGTGTGAGCTACAGTGAGCTATAGTGATAGACAGTGTGAGCTACAGTGAGCTATATTGATACACAATGTGAGCTATAGTTATGTATAGTGTGAGCTATAGTGATATCTGGTTTGAGCTATAGTGGTATACAGTGGGAGCTAGGGTGAGCAATAGTTATATATAGTGTGAGCTATAGTGTGAGCTATACAGTTATATATAGTGTGAGCTATAGTGAGCTGTACAGTGATATACAGTATGAGCTATAGTGAGCTATACAGTGATTATACAGTGTGAGCTATAGTGATATACGTTGTGAGCTATACTGATGTACAGTGTGGGCTTGGGTACAAAGAGCAAAATGTTAAAGCTTCCAAATGACACAAAACTTAGAAATATAGAAAACAGTGAGGAGGATAGTAGCAGACCGCAGGACTGCCTGATGAAATGGGCAGACACATGGCAGATGGAATTTAATGGAGAGAAATGTGAAGTAATTTTGGGCAGAGGAATGAGGATAGGCAATATAAGATAAATGGTCCAATTTTAAAGAGGGTGCACCGCTGTTCCCACAAACAGTCGTGGATTGAGTGACCAGATTATTACCCCCACAAGCGAGAGGACCTGGGTTCGATTCCCGGCAGGGAGAAACGTTGTGAAACCTAGCGAAATGTTGGGCAACCTTCCTTATTCCACACAGCTCTGTTTACGTAACAGTAAGCAGGAATCCGCTCAGCGAGCTCCAGCCTGCTTTATGTCTCCCGCCTTGCCCATCCCACAATTGGTGGGCGGGCCTTCAACCTCTCAGTCCCCACCCTCGGGAACTCCATCCCACAGTCCCTCTACCTCGCCCCCTCCCTTGCCTCCTTCAAGACCCTTCTCAAGACCCTCCTCTTCGACCATGCCTTCCGTCACTCTCCTACCCCTACCCACCCTGCCCTCCACCCCTCCTGATCCCAACCACCAATCAGGGTGGTCAGGGTATTGATCCCTGACTGTCCAGCACCTTGGAACGTCCCCCTGACGTGAAAGGCGCTATATAAATGTAACTTGTTGTTGTAATAATTCCTTCAAAGTAATAATAATTGGGTCACTCAATCCACAACTGTTTGTGGGACACTGCTATGTGCATTTGGCTGCTGCATTTCATCCACAAAATATACAATCAATTTCACCCACAAAATATACAGTCAATTTCACCCACAAAATATACAGTCAATTTCACCCATAAAATATAGTCAATTTCACCCACAAAATATACAGTCAATTCACAGTATATTCTGCCTCAAAGATGTGATAAGGTGCTATATTAAATGCAAGGATTATTTATTTTATTTTTTATTATTTTGTGTGTGTTTGAATGTGTGTGTATATATCGCTTTGTGTGTGTGTGTATGCATCTGTATATATGTGTGTGTCTCGACTCTTGTTACCTTTTTGACAAGTTTTTGCATCGCATTCCTTTTATAGAAAGCATCACCTGGGTTTCTCCTGATCATTATCCACTGAGCTCTGGTGTGTGATGTCCCTCTGTAACCAAGACCAAAAAAGTCACATAATTCGAAACTAATATGTTACAGCGAAGACAACGTTCACCTTGTATTGTTAGAGGTGTCAGCCTGGCTCAGTAGTAGCATTCTTGCCTTGGAGTCAGAAGGTTGTGAGTTCAAATCCTACATTGGGACTTAGAATCACATAGTCTAAGTAGACACTCCAATGCAATGCTGGCTGAGCACTACATTATCATCTTACAGATGAGATGTTAAACCAAGGTCCCTATTCAGGTGGACGCAAAAGATCCCAAGGCACTGTTCAAAAAGAGGCATGAGTTTCTCTTGGTGTCTTGGCCAACAATCCTCCAGATAAAAATTGGTCACTTGATCCATGGCTGTTTGTGGGACATTGCTGTGTGCATATCAGCTGCTGCGTTCAACTATAAAATACAGTTACTACACTTTACCTTATATCTTGTGATGCATAAGGAATATTATTACTAATAAAGGCTCTGAGATAGTGTGAGAAGATGGATCTGTTGACAATGCAATGCCAACTCACGCAGGATCAAGCTTTCTGCATGGATGTGTGTTAGCTTCTGGAGAGCGGAAGGTTTGAACTCCAGCATGTGGTGAAGATCAGTGCTCCGAGATGTTACCAACAACAACTTGCACTTATATAGCGCCCTTCATGCCGAGCGGTGTCTCAGAGCGCTTAACAATGGTGGAGCCCAAGGCCAAGCCAGGGGGAGGGAGAAGATGGGGAAGGAGGGGGTGAAGCGAAGGGGTTGATGGAATGAGTTCCAAAGTTTCGGGGCGTAGTGGCTGAAGGCATACCATAAGTGAAGGGTGATATACAAGTTCAAGCTGCTGTTGTTGAGGATGATAGAAAGTATTTGGGGATTATAATTGTCTGGAGCCCCGGGACGAGGGAGAGGTACATTCGGCCATAATTGTTGCCGTGATTGCTGTGCAGTGAGCCTTCACTGGGAAGTGTAGGCTTGTGTGTCTGTGTGTGGACAAGGACTGTGCCAGGCTTGGCTGTGACAGCCGTGCTCCCCCAGAACCTCAAAACACTCACTGGTGAGGCTCGCGCATAGTTAATGAATGACTGGGTGCTTGAGTGAGTGCATACATGAGTGAGTGCATGAGTGATTGAGTGAGTCACTTACAAACTCACTCACTCATGCACTCACTCACAGTGTGAGTGAGTGAGTGAGTGAGTGAGTGAGTGAGTGAGTGAGTGAGTGAGTGAGTGAGTGAGTGAGTGAGTGAGTGAGTGAGTGAGTGAGTGAGTGAGTGAGTGAGTGAGTGAGTGAGTGAGTGCGTGCGTGCGTGCGTGAGTGAATTACAAGCTTTTCCACATTGGTTTAGGCTCTCCCCACACAATCGGATGGATATTTCTGGCTGATTGTCTGCTCTGGCTGTAGCCCTCCCAGATCCTAACCAGATGTTTCCTGTTTTGTTTACCACATAGCTGATCAGATTGCAGCCCGAAGGCTAACACAGAACAATACAGAGATACAGTGCTGTGTTACTGCTAACACTGGTGGAACCCTGGTTTCAGTGTTACTTTTGAAGACCCTTCTGAATCTATGACGAAGGAGGGAATTGAGCCAGCTCTCTGTGGGAGTCTTGGCAGTCTGGTTCCTGAGCCAGTCTGGTCCGCAGTATACCAGGGCGCTACTGATGACAGGACAGCCAGCCAGGCTCATCGGCAGGACTTGGTAGGGCAGACCAGTCACTGAGGGCAGAGACTCCTCCCACTCAGCTCCTGCAACCCTGCAAGCCAAAGCCCTAACGCATAGGGTGGTCCTAGCTGAACATCCCCATGCCTTGGCTCTTGCCAATGTGCTCCTAAAACTTTTTTTCCAGAATTAGGTAAGCAGGATGCATCTCTCCAGGAAGATGCATTCCATTACAACAATCTATCTCTGGAATTTCCATGTGAGGTGGGATGCAAGGAACTGTTTAGTTTGGATACTCCAAACCAATAACAAAATTACATTTGTATAGCTCCTTTCAAGTTGGGAGGACCAAAGGCACGGTCGGAGAGGTGGGTCTTGAGACGGGTCTTGAAGGAGGCAAGGGAGGGGTCAAGGCAAAGGGACTGCGGAATAGAGTTCCAGAAGATGGGGGCAAAGTGGCAGAAGGCCCGCCCGCCAATGTTGACAACAACAACTTGCACTTATATTGAAGCAGGCCTGTAAGCGGAGGGAGCGGGCAGGTTGGTAGGGGGTAGGAGGTCCATGGAGGGTTTTAAAGGTGCAGACCAGCATCTTGAACTGTATTCTCTGTGTGATGGGAAGCCAGTAGAGTCTGGCAAGGATGAGAGTGGTAGGGGCACAGACCCTGGTGCGGGAGAGGACACGAGCTGCAGAATTCTGGATGATCTGCAACCTATGGAGGGAGGAGTTGGGGAGGCCGACAAGCAGAGAGTGGGGTAGTCGAGGCTGGATGTTATGAATGTGTGTATGAGGGTCTCGGCGGCCTGCAGTGTGGCAGTGGCGGAGCCAGGCGATGTTGCGGAGGTGAGGGAAGGTAGATAGGTCATGGTACAGATGTGGGGTAGAAAGGATAGTTGAGAGGCAAACAAGATGCCAAGGTTCCGGACTGGCTCAGTGAGGTGGAGTAAAACTAGAGGACACGGCCTGCGATTGAAGGGGGTAAATTCAGAACGAATCTACACAAACATTATTTCAGTGAGCGAATAGTGAACCTGTGCTACAGGCTCCCAAGGGAGATGGTTGAAGCGGGAAGTGTTGATTCCTTCAAACACAGATTAGATAGTTTTCTTTTAGGAAATAACATTATGGGATATAGTAGAAAGGTAATTCGGGACATATGTGCAAGCGACCACCAGGAAGTTGGAAGGCAAACTAGATGGACCTTGGTCTTTATTCGTCCAGCATTTCTTATGTTCTTATATGTTTATTGAAAATAATGGAAAACCTCAGGGCATTGTTTGCTTGCAAGTAATATCTGTGTTGAAGGAGTTCAACATCAGCAGGTACTACAGCACACTACACAAGATAAAATACAACAAATATACTGGCTTGTGCATTTGATGATGTAAAATGGTCAATAATTTTGAAAATGTAGTACTGTCCCACCAAACTGTGGTAAGGAGAATAAGTGACCTGAATGAACACATGAATAAAAAGCTCAGGACAATCGTTGAAAAGTGTAAATACTTCTCATTAGCTTATTAGACCAGAGCACTGACGTTACTGATATCAGTCAGCTATTAATTTTCATCAGAACCATTGATGAAAATTGTGTTGTTCATGAAGAATTATTTGAGTTAATTCCTCGGAAAACTGCAAAAACGGGGTTGGATGTTTACAAGGTTCTTACTTCAACTGTCAGTGAATACGGTGGATTTTCATGACTGAAGGTGCAAAATCAATGACTGTCTGTGAAAATGGTTTGATAGGTTTGCTGAAACAACTGGAATTGAATGTAGAGTCCTGTAGCTCAGTGGTTAGAGCACTCGCCTTGTAAGCAAGAGACCTGGGTTTGATTCCTGGGCCATGGTCATGGTACGGATGTGGGGTAGAAAGGATAGTTGAGAGGCAAACAAGTCGCCAAGGTTCCGGACTGGCTCAGTGAGGTGGAGTAAAACTAGAGAACACGGCCTGCGATTGAAGGGGGTAAATTCAGAACAAATCTACACAAACATTATTTCAGTGAGCGAAATGTGAACGAAATGTAGGCCAAGTTTCCTTACTCCGCACACCTGAAGTAGAAACCAGGTTGTTAGTCGATTGGCGGATCACATTTCCAGGGGTAATAATTCCTTCAAAAAAAATAATAATAAATTGTTTGTGGGACACTGCTGTGCGCAATTGGCTGCCACGATTGACTACAAAATATACAGTCAATTCACTTTACAGTATATCCTGTGAAGCGCCTTGAGATGTCTCAAAGACATGATAAGGCGCTATATCAAATGCAAGAGTTATTATTATTAGTAGTACTGTCCACTGCATCACAGGAGTCCCTTTGTGGTAAACCAGTGAAAATAAGTGATGTGATGACTAGTGTCATCAAAGTGATCAATATTATCCGTGGATGAAATTGAGCACAGAGTCACAGGAAGTTCATAAACTACCTTGAAGAACTAGGTGAAGAATATGGTGACTTACCTCTTTATTCAGATGTGCATTGGCTGAATGCGCACAACTGTTGTGCAGTTTTTTGCATTTAGCAAGGAGATATTTTCATTTCTCAAGGAACATGTAAAGAGCAACACCGCGCAGTTTGAAGAGGAATTGGAAGATCCAAATGGCTTTCTTAACAGACATAACAAGCCATCTCAACATTCTCAATCTTCATCTACAAGATAGAAATCAGAATATTTTGCACCTTATGGGGGATCTTGACAGGTTCCACATAAAGCTACAACTGTTGAACTCATCCCTCTTGCAGAACAACCCCACCCATTTTCCATCATGTATGGAACTCGCAACTGAGCTTGATGAGACTGATTTTCGCAGGTTTTCAGAAATCATAATCGGATGAGTTCAGTGCCAGATTTGCTGATTTTGAGGGTCTGAGGTGCAACGTCCAAATAATCAACAATCCAATGGAGGTATTGATTGAGTAGCAACCAAAAAATCTTCAGATGGAGATTTGTGAACTGCAGGGTAACCCTTTGTTCCTCTCAAGGAAGAATGAGATTCATGAAAACTTCTGGAAAATTATTCCTCAGGAGTGTTTTCTTAAATTAAATGACTTTGCACTGAAGATGTGTTCGACGTTTGCAAGAACATATTTGTGAAAGCAAGTTTTCTACAATGAAATGACAACAACAACAAGATTAGATTTGTATAGTACCTTTCACGTCAGGAGGACGTCACAAGGTGCTGGGACACGTTAAGTCCAAACATCGCAACAGGCTTGATACCGACACCCTTGGGTGCCGTTTCCGACTTGCCACGACTGAATTTGAAGTTGACATTGGGGCTCTGGTTGAAGAGAAACATTTTCCTCAGTGTTCACACTAAGATATTTAATGGTCTTCTAAGTGTCAAGAA